ACCAAATGCATTTTCCACCACTCTTCTGGCTCAAGACAAAAGGTAGTTGAATTGCTTTTTCTCATTAGGCAAATCAGCACTGTCAGGAAATGGCTTCATTAAGGTAGGCATAAGTAGAAATGCAGTGTCACCTAATAAAAGTAGAGGTATAGTGCATTAGCCTCATTATATCTTTTTCTCAGTTCACTATACAAAGTGAACACATTAAACATTTGATAGTTTCCACTGTTTCGAAACATATGAGAGTTGTTATTCCTCCCAGGTGCACCAACATTGACATAGGTGAACTTGTATTTTGCATCACATATTGCCAGTAGTACAACACTATAAAAGCTTTTGTAGTTAAAGTAATCAACTGCATGTTCCTTTGGTGGACTGACTTTAATATGAGTCCCATCAATCACTCCAATACACTGTGGAAAATGTCATAAATTCTCAAATTCTTCGGCTTTTTTTAACAACTCTTTTGTTGTTCCAGGAAACATTATTTTTGAGTCTAGCTTTTCGATCAGCAGGTTGCAAAACTCATGCAATGTTTCGAAAACTGATGTCTTGTCTACTCTACTCCAAATAAGTTTGCAATACTACAAAATTCCGCTGTGGAAGACAATGTGTATAGAGCTATCACAATTCTCTTATTCAGTGGAATGCATTTTCTGTAGTTTGTATCTAGGCACTCCATTTCCTTAAGGTTTGCACATAGAAAATGGAATGTTTCTTGAGAAACTTGGAAATTCTCCTTCCATTTTGCTGGAGTCCATGCTTTTACAACAGTTGTCCACCAGTCGCTGCCTTTTGGATATGACCAACAACTTGGTGAGGCACGATTCTGTGATAAATTACTTAGCAAAATCTTAATGTCTTGGTTCCTCTTCTTCATATGACAACATATGTTGATCAAATGACTTAAACAATTTCTGTTTACAGTCATTTGATTGCAGATGTTTATTAACTTTGCTGCATATAGGCCTACCAGTAATGCATCTTTGTTATTAGCTTTCATTTTGTTTGTGTTTGTGACCAGTGCTGCTGCCTGCTTCTAGTGGAACTACCCCAATGGTGCCTTCATTTTACCCTAAATTACTCTAAACTGAGGAAACTCTCTAAGCTTGACCATATTCGAGCTCACGCTCAGATAAAAAAATAAGACAAACGATTCTATGTTGCAGATCCCTGTACTATTATCGTGAAATAATAATCAGAACAATTCTTAATTCATCGTTTTTAAAAATCTTTAACTAAAATGTCTTAGGATTTTTAGATTTTATCAGAGGTATTAATTTACATCAGATATGGAGATAAAAAATTAATTAATTAATCCATTCACTTGATTGACCTTTATCCTAGAAACAGCAACACTGTTTGTGACTTATTGTGAAATTATGTCAGTTTTATCATTGCTTGCAATAGCCGGGTAATTCTCAAGTGAGTTACCTGTGTGAACAGCTCGACATTCGACTGACAACTGTCACAATTGAGATTGTAGGCAAATCAAGATCAAAGTGAGTCGTGGATATTGTGTGCGAACGTAGTATTAGACCTGTTCTTGATAAAGCTAGGTCTCTGACAAGGCTTCTAGAAAACATGGTTCACATCATCAAGTCAGACCATTTGAAAGATTATGCTTTAGCGGTGAAGAACTATACCAAACTGATAGAACTGTTACGACAAGCACACTTAATAAATGGGGCACATATTATGGTATTTGACTTTGTGTCATTATACCCCTCGATAAAGCTTCAACCGTGCTTCTACATTCTTAGGAATCTCTTACTGAGATGCAATACACCTACATGGTGTAAACAGATCATGGAGCTCGCACACCTCATGTGTTAGAGCTTGATATTCCAATTCAACAATAGAACCTATTTGCAAAAACAAGGAGTACCCATGAATAGCCCGCCCCCTCAAATAATAAGTACACTATATATGTATATGGTGAATTTGTGTATTTGCAACCAATAAGTCTTTGTTTTTATATGTTCAAAATGTTTTAAATTCAATGTTCAAAAACATTCTATTCCTAGCATTCCGATTTTACAATTCCAAAATCTGAATGCTAGGAATAGAATTATTTTGGGTTGATGACAAAGTTATTCCAATTCGGAGGCACAAATGTTTCGGGTCCAAGTTGATAGGGTAATTATTCGTTTTGGAGCACAGATCACTGGTTGAGGAACTGGCGACAATTATCGTTAGGGGACCAGGTGGCAACTTCTTGCCTTGGGTAGAATTAGATGGCGTCTGACTAAACTTTCAGTTCCTTGCAATATTGAACTGATGAAATCAAGACAGTAAAGGCTGCTATACACCATGGGTTAATCCTTTGAGGCTGCCTGTCCTTGAGGAACTTCCTATCGCCCAAAAACGAAGAAAACCTCTCAGCAGAGGGTGGGGCAGCTTGCCCCGGGCGCCACTGGCAGAAGGGAGCCTAATGGTTTCCAAGAATAACAAAATTTGTTTCTGGAGGGGAAGGGGGTGCCAATATAGTGTCGCGGCCCGGGTGCAGTTATATTCGCTACGCCATTGTGTTTATTATTACGCCACTGATGTTTGGCAACAAATTCTATTAAAACTCACGGGAAAAAAGTATGCATAGAAGTCTATGGTGTAAATAGTAGTAGTAGTGGTTTGGGTAGCACTGATCACAAAATTAATTTTTCAAGAGAAATCTTGGGCTATAGATTATGTTAAAAAGCATCAATTATCAGCGAAAGACAATGGCAAGTCGATTTTACTACCAAAAAAATTCATGGATTAAATTTTATAGACGAATATATATTAATAATTCTCAACCACATCCGATATTAGTACAAATTGTAAACATTATTATCGCAAATTAATTTTATAATTTAATAATTAAAAAGAATTTATTAAACTTTGTCTTATTTTAAGTTGTCATGTTTTAATTTACTTGGATATTAAAACAATAAATTTTTTAAAATGTAGAAGAAAATGATAAAGAGTATCGAGATGTTTTATGAAAACGGAAGAAATGAATTGAGAAGTTTTCTAAATATTAAAATTATTTATAATTTTAATTTACTCGAGAAATTTTTGATCCGAAAATAATTTATAACCTGAAAAATTAATTTTTTAGGTTATAAATAATAAAAGTTAATAAGGTTATAGAAAATAATTCTTCCAAACATTCACGAGACATTGTTCTCACACACGTTTAGGTCGGCCTGCGCAGTCTGACACTGCGCCAGGAAAATCAAATGGTTTTTCAATTCTACTCAGGTGGTCGGTACAGGTCGCCGAAGCTGTTAAATTGTACCCCATAAACTATCAAGAATTATAAAGGTCAGGCATGCATGATTACTCCTTCGAGAATTAACCTAAAGAATATGGCCGATTCTACTCAGGTGGTCAGTACAGTTTGCCGAAACTGTTAAATTTTCCCCCACACACATCCAGGAATGACTCAAAATCAGGCATGCATGGTTACTCTTTTGAGGATTAACCCATGGTGTATAGCAGCCTTAAGTGGAAGGTTATGAGAAAGCATCATTTTTACTGCCGAGAACTTAACAGACGATTTAATCCCAGGTGTGAAAGTTGACAGTTAATCAGACAAAATTTTATTGTCAAGACATTATGTTATGATTTAGTTATGTAAATAAATTACATAGTGCGGAGTCTCACAATTTTATTGTGAGGTCCCAGTGTTCAACTCCCTTATTAAATGTACAAAAAAATTCATTTCATTCAAAGAAAATATTTTGTTAATGAAAAATGTATAAAACATATCTGTTGCAAAAGTGTGAAATAAACAATGGCTGACCCTGTGAGATCACAAGCTGATGTAAACTAATGAGTTGGAATGTTCAAAATGTCAATGAACATTCCAACTCTGGTGCTCATAGAGATGACAAAATTTGGAAAAAATGAGGAAATATAGCATTTTTTAAAGAAAAACTAACATGTTTTAGTTAATAAAGACAAAAAGAAAATTCTTAGATGTCAGAAAAGAAAATATTATGTGAGATACAAGTGAAAGTTTCAAAGTTTGATCAACACTGAAAATCCTAAAGAACCTTTACTTCTGGTGACAAAACTTTAATAAATTGTCAAATGAACGCTTTTGACCTTCTGCTTCAGGAGCTTACAACACAAGTAAGAAAGGCATTATGAAAGAAATTGCGGACTGCAAGGAGTCAAGAATGATTCTGAAAAGAGCTCCAAACTATATAAAATTTTAAGAATGACAAAGATAACATCAAGAAAGAAGAAAAAACAGGGGTGTACAAGATTCCTTACAAAAACATACAGCTAGGAATCAAGAAAGAATATATCAGTGTCACAACAAGGAATTTGGGAGTAAGACTCAAAGAACACAAATATAACATAAGAAAAGGTTCCAACACAACATTACTTTCCCAGATGGTGCAGATCCAAGGCTTGAAAGTAAAATGGGATAAAGCAGACATTGTCAAACTGTTGCACTCCCCAACATTAACAAGAACTACTAAGAAAATTGAAATATACAGGAGCAAACTGGAAGAGGCATGCATAAATGCAAGGGACACAGAAGGCCTACCATCAGCTGGAAAGTTTATAGTCAAAAAGTTTGCCATGAACTCATAATTTATACATTAGTCTATAGTTGCACTTTATATAAATTATATCTTAATAATTTATTTTAATGTTCAAAGTAATATTACTGGATCATTATTTTTATTAATATATCTGAACTGGTTTTTTATTTTTGATTTTATTTCATATATATATTTTTATAAGTTATTCTTATGCTATTATCTTTTTATTCTGTTGTCAATTTTTTTAATTTAAACATATGTATTCCATCTTATGGAATGCAGATGTTCCAATCCATTTTAACTTGAAGATGACCTATAGAATAGGTTAGTTTTAAATAAAACTGTCTTGGCAACAAAAAAGGTGTATTATAATTGTCTAATTGTTTGCTGAGCACATTCTGTTAAATAGAATATAACTATAAATATGCATAAACTATAACTATAATAAAATATTTTCAGGAATATCTGCAGGATTATTTGATTTTTTAATTTGTGGTAAAGAAACTGAATTTATTCAACCAATTTGTGTAGGAGAGCCAATAGTAAATGTTCAAGATGCTCAAAATCAATGTGAACCAGGAGAAGTAATAATAACTAATGAGGCATGGCAATTATTGAAACATTATCACTCTTCATACACTTTTATACGAATAAAAGGACAATTTATAAAAGTATTAGTGAGTATTCTTGTTTATTATATTTAATTATTGTTTATAAATATGTTCTACAGAATCATTTTTAAAATATTTATTTTTTATTAATATTAAATTTTACTAATTAAAATGAAATTAATTTTCATTTTAATTAGTAAAATTTAATTAGTAAAATTTATTTAAATTAGTAAAAAATGTTTTTTATAATTTGTTGTAAGTATTATTAAATAGTGCAATATAACACAATATTGTTTAAAGTTTTAAGTTTAATTAAAAAAAATTTTTTTTTTACCTTGTATAATTTTTAAGTATACTAAGACCTCTCATTAATACCAACTGTTGAGGGACTATTTTTCTATTGGAAAATAGTCCAAAATGCATTTTGGATTTTTACGGTTTTTATACTTATGTAATCATCTTATTGTATATCCCTTTTTGTTTTATTAAATGTTTTTACTTTGATTCTTGAACGTTTGTGCCCATTATCAGGTTAGACTGGATGTTGCTTTTCGAAGAGATTAGTAAAAAGGCAATTGGACTAACGTAACCGGTTGTGTAATAAAAGAACAAAGAGTGCACAAAGATTACACACAGTTTTTACTCCCGGAAGGTCAGCGCTAGAAAGGGAAGAGTGAAATGAGGTCACCTTGCCCGAGGGGTCAAGAGTGCCACCAACCTTTTATTACGTTAGAACATTACAAATCATCGTGACCGTTGATTCCAACATATCATTGGTGTGAGAAGCCCTTACTATTATCTGCCTCATGGTTATAGATATTTTAATTAATTCAAAGAATGTTAAAATACAAAAATAATTGCACAATATGTATTTATATTTTAGAATATACAAGGGAAATGTCACTTCCACAGCTTCCATGGATAGCATACCACTGCATTTTAGACTTTATTTTATTAATTACAGTGTAAGAAAAGTAGGTATTCACTTATGGGTTTACCTCAGATAATGCAGAACTTTGTTTAAATCGGGTTCTACTGTATATCAATATAATAAATTTAAATTTAATATCAAATAAATAATAAATAATAAGATATCAAATAGTCTGGAAGGAATTTTTTTCAAAAATGCAAAAGAAATTTAATATTATTCTAATACACACTATTATTTTGACTAAATTAATTAATATCTTAAAACATTATATCAGCTAATAGATACTGAATTTTTGTTAAAGAGTTCAAACATACTTAAAATATTATAACTAAATATTATTGCAATGGCAACAGGGACACTTCCCTTTATGCTAATAAAGATTATTATTATTATTATTATTATTATTATTATTGCAATGTACTGAATACAGGAAATCAGAAAATATTACATAGTAATTATTTTTTGAGACTGAAGTTCATATTTATTGACTAGATATATGTTGCATCAATAATTAAATTTAGTTCATTAGTGTTAAATTTGTCTAATTCAATCAGTTAATATATACTGGTAATTTCTTCACTTAAATTTAAGTAGTAATTATCAAATGCTTGAACAGTTTGAAATAAATAAATTATCAAAATGGTATTTTTCAGCTACATTAAAATAAATGTGATCAATGATTTTCAATTTTTTTATAATATAGATAAAAAACTATTTATAATGCTATTATCATTTACTAATTTGATATAATTAAAATTTTCATTATAACATGATAATGCGATGATATTTTATTTATATCTACATTATGTGTATATTTATATCTACAAAATATACTAACTTAAAAGTAAGAAGAAAAATAAGTTCTCATTTTTCAATAGAAATAAATTTTAATTATAGCACAATTATGACAGTCTTCAATTAACACTACAGCTGTCCTTTGATAGGCCAACGTTTTGTAATCTAACGTGCTCAGTAGTCCGATGCACCTCCCGTCAAGATACCCGTCTCATTACGTGTCTGCTTGCACAGAAGCATGTCGCGACGTGAATCTCCCCACCCAATTCTTACATGATGACACACATTTCGTGTGTTTTCCGTGAGCAGTTCTGTTTGAACAGTTGGAGTAGGGAATATTGTAGGCTATTGCTAGCAAAACAATGCCAAATATGTAATCACTTTCGGTAATCTGGACACTTTTGGTAATCCAACACCCCTTTGGTCCCATACTTGTCAGATTATCAAGGGACAGCTGTATTGATAGGATCTTTGAAACTGTGACATTAAACAAAAAATCACATAACAAGACTAATTTTACCATAAACTAAATGATATAAACAAAATACAATTTAGTAATATTATTTTAATTGGTTTGTCTGATTAATTTAATTATTTGTGATTACAATCTCCAGCATTCATTTTTGATATCAATAGAATGAGTTTTATTTTTTACTAGCAGACCCCGCCACGCGTTGTTGTGGCTCAAAATGTATCTATTATAAATGTATAACACTTCCCTGTGGGGGGGAATTTTTCGAAAAATTTCTTCTTAGTGTACATTCTCTTGACGTACCCTATTAAAACGCAATCAAAAACGCAAAAACCTGCATCTAAAATAATATAATAGAAGCCAAGTTCTTCGCAGTAAGCCTTAATTCTGTCCCTCTCCCCAACGGGGGAATATTGAAAAATCCCTTCTTAGTGTACATTCTGTTGATGTATCCTATTAAAACGCAATAAAAAACGCAAAAATCACATCTAAAATAGTATAATAGAAGCCAAGTTCTTTACGGTAAGCCTTAATTAATCCTAACCATCTCCCTTCAGTGGGGGTAATTTCGACACGTATGTTATAAAAACACATGCGTATTCGAATGCAGCGTTGTGTGAAAATTTCAAAGGAATCGGTAGGAATAAATGAACATTACATTTTTATTTATATAGATAGATAGAAGATGATCCGCTTTAGTTCATTTTCACAGAAAAGCGTAATGCCTCACAGAAAAGCAAACTTAGGGTGTTGTACTCGTAGCACCATCTGTTGGACATAAAAGCCTTAACCTAGATGATATCTTTTAATTTATATGAATGTTTAATGGAATAATATACAGCCTATGTCCACCCTGAAGTTCCATTCTAAATATTGGTGAAAGAATTTTTGAAATCGGATGAGTAGTTTCGGAGATTACCTACTGAAAACAAACTTACTTACATACATACTTATTGATACAAACATTACCTCTTTATAATATTAGTATAGATAAAGAAAGTTTAACAATGATAATTTTAAATCATTACAAATATACTTGTATCTTTCCTCAATGATTTTATGAAGTTATATGGAAATGATGTTATGTAGGGACTTTCTATATATAGTAATAGATATTTTTTTTAATAAATAAAGGAAGCATGCAATGCCATAACATTATAAATGCCATTTTTCTCTAAATATGTTCTTTTGAAGAAATAAATTCTAAACACAATGTTTTCTGCTGCAAAAAAAAAATGTGGCAATAATGGTGCTGTATTTTTAAGTTGAATTTACATGAAAGCCATAAGTGCCAAAGTGTAAGTCACATAACTTTTGGCATTTAAAATGTTACAGCTTATGTTTACATCATTTTGTTATTCCAGAGAATTTGTAACTTACCATTTTATTGTAAAATTGAAACAAATTCCTTCAAGACTTGAAGGAGTTCATTCACTAAAAAAATATTTTATCATCTCTCCAGAAAAGTTTGTTTTTTGGCATTTACAACATTAAGGCACTGCATGCTTCATTAATATTGCAAAAGGAATATTGTATACTCTTCAGAAATAATTGTATATCTCATTTTATGTTTTTAACTTTCTGTTACATATGTAAAAGTTTCCAAAAACTTTGCTGAAAAGTATAACCTATCCATCAGTAGATAAAAGCTGATCATTATTTTAAAAATATATTTTATCATTTTAATAAAAGAATGATGAGAGAACAATAACAGATTTTAAACTAATAATTATCTTATTGATGATATTAATATTTAAGTATAAATGAAAAATATTAATTCTAAAACGTTATTTGTATTAGAATATGTGTATTTTTTGAATGGCACATGCAAACATGTTTATTTTTATATTTAGAAATTCATAACAATGAAAATTATGTTTATTAGAGAAAATATAATAAAAAGCAAAGTTTTTTGATGAGGGTATAATTCATCATTTGAATTATACCTCTTACCAAAATTTTGTTAACCTAAAAATCATTAATGAAATTTTATGTATTTTTTGATAATTTTATAGTTTTTCTTAATTACTTTTATTGATTATTCAACAATTTTTATGAAATGTAAAATAATTTTAGTAAGTTTATATATAAAAAATTTTTTATAAGTAAATATATCTATATATATAAAAATGAATGTATATCTGTGTGTGTGTCCTATGTCCTTCATGCATTACCACACCGTTTATCCGATTGCCGTGAAACTTTGGGAAGTTGTTTAATATACTCTGGCGAAGGTTTGTGGCATAGTACGATTGCCATAAAACTTTGGAAAGTTTTTTTAATTTTTTAATACACTCCCGCGAAGTACATTTATCCTACGATAGATGGCGCGCGTTTACACGAGCATTCGCGCACAGTGTGTTCGATCGATTTCAAATTGTGAAGACCATTTTCCCCCTTCAAAAAATATCTCTATATATGCATTTGTGAACTGTTATTTACGATATTTGTAATAATTTTTGTTTAATCACTTTATTTCAACTTTTTTTATTGCTAATTATGTATTCGCTCGAACTTCTAAAACCTTAACTGTACCCCGAACAACAACCGAAGTTGTAGGAAGAAATTCGCGTATTTTACCAATCTAGGTATCCCCCCTTTTCCAAATTTTAATATCGACTCAAAATAATTTAAAAAGACAAATTACAATAAAACGGTTTATTATCCAACTATCAGAAATTTCACAACATGCCAAGGAAGAGAGGAAGGAGCAATTAAATAATGAAAATTATAAAGGATTTTAAAAAATATATAAAAATGAGGAATATCGCACTTCTGACAATCGCTGCGAGTGTGTGGGCTAAATTTGGAGAATCCGTGCTTCTCACATGGACAAGTGTATGTGGGCGGCTCACGCGTCGGAAAACCTTCCGATTTATTCGTGTACGCACCAGACGGAAAAACAAAAAATATCGTGTATCCACGAGCACTCCAATAAATAAATAGAATTGAAACGACACTTTGAAATATTTTCCCGATGAAAATGAATAATAATAAGTTTCAATAAAAATGATAAAATGAAAATTTAATTTTATCATTACGAGTTTGCTTGCATTTCGTTTCTTCTGAGATCGCAGCAATGCGCGACGGGTAAGCTAGTTAAATATAATAATAATAATAATAATAATTTAGTATTAGATAATTTTACAAAATCATAATAATTTTTCTTTAAAATTTTGTAACTGTTTAAATTTTAGGGGAAACAGTTTCAAAGTCATACTAAAGAGAGAGAAGCACCAACAGGTAAAATATACTTTTTAGATAAAAGTCTATTTTTCATTCATTTTTTACATATTTTAAACAATATGTCATAAGTCTAAATTTTCTTTTTTGTATCTTGATTTGAAGGCAGAATGAAAGAGGTCTTTTTGTAAATGGAAAATTAGATTTGAATATGGAGTTAAATAGACTTACTGACTGTAAGGCTCTATTCACTAACAAGGGGATCTTATGGTCTCGGAAATTCAGTTCGGGATGAGACTTTGCAGGTTAGTAGTATACCTCATGGGTGTCCACCCAGAAGAATTGTAAAGTGCACTAACCAGAAGATTCCAAGAAAAAGGGCTCTAAGGTTTTAAGCGCAGCTCATATACTGGTTGATTTTACATTATGGCAGCACAGTGAAATGGCTGAGTCTGTAGCAAACTTGCTTCCCATGTGGGCAATCTAGGTTTGATCCTACCTTTGGCTTTAGCTAACTTTTTTTTAATTGTTTTAAAAATTATAACAACTTAATAAAGTTAATGATCTAAAAATATTATCAATTAAATCATAAATAATTTTATTTTATTTATGAAATGACTGTTACAGCTAATTAAAATGTGAATTAACGATATAAAGCTAACATTTTATTTTTAAAAAGTTGAATAATTTCAAATGAATTTTTAATGATGGTAAATTAAAACTTTAATTACTATTGTCATTAAAAAGTTATTACAAATTTTAAGATATAAGCTGTGGAGAGGTTAAAAATATTCATTGTAAATTTGAGGAACTGGTTTCTACGTGGAAGAGTAGAGTATAGTTGTTGATTATTATTTATGATTTAATTGATAATATTTTTAGGTCATTAACTTTATTTAAAAGTTGTTATAATTTTTAAAACAATAAAAAAAAAAGTTAGCCAAAGCCAAAGTTACGATCAAACCTAGATCGCTCACGTGGCAAACGAGTTCACTACAGACTCAGCCATTTCGCTGTGCTGCCATAGTGTAAAATCGACCAGTATATGAGGTGTGCTTAAAACTTTAGAGCCTTTTTTCTTGGAATCTTCTGGCTAGTGCACTTTACAATTTCTTCTGGGTGGACACCCTTGAAGTATACTACTAACCTGCAAAGTCTCATCCCAAACTGAATTTCCAAGACCGTAAGGTCCCCTTGTAAGTATCTTTCAGATATGATGTTATAAGGAAATGATACTAGCATACTAGCATTAAAGCTGAGTAGCTGTAAATAGGTCTCTTCTTTACTTACATTAACATATTCTTAAACTTTTTAGCCTCTATCCAGATGCATTATTAGTAGTAATAAGAAATGCATGACATTATGATACAACCAACTCTATACTGCTTCCTATGCAATCATAGATCTGCAGACTCTAATAATTAAGTTTCTTTTTAATTTAATTCTTGTTATTTTAATTTTCCTCAATATCTCCTGGATTTTCTATTTTCTTGTTATTATTACTTTTTAAATACATTTTTGAATTTACTTGAATCTTTATTCAAGTAAATTCAAAACTTCCATAGATTTACTACTAGTTGAAAGAAGGGGCTGCCTCCTGGTTCCACTCAAAGGTATGACCTGGAGGTTGAAAAGATGGTGAAAGAAGAGGAAGAGAGAAGAAGGCAAGTGATGAAAAGGAGGGCAGGGTGCTGATAGGATCACAGGGCGCCTGCAACGGTAGTTTATTAAATACAAAACAGAAAACATATGTACAAATTATATACAAGATGCATGTAACACAGGTGACAACAAACAATGACTAGTACAGTTTGAACAAATATAAATAGAGAACATTATAACGTATTTACAATAAATGTGTAGATGCACCCGACCGGTGAGGACCAAACCACTTGTTTGGTCAAATACAAAAAGATATCACAATTACATCACTACAAAATAAGTGAAATAATGCACCAAACTTGGGTGACAAAATTATGACAATATCAGGAATGGTTATATACATAAGGAAAATGAAATTTCCATAGATTTACTGACATAATAGCAGTGGCATGTTGTCCATGGAAGCTGTGGAAGTGCATCTTCCCTTGTATTTTCTAAAATATAAATACATATTGCATGATTATTTTTATATTTTAACATACTGTATTTACTTGCATATAAGACGAGGTTTTTATTCATTTTTCACTGCTTCAAAAACCTAGGTCATCCTATACACACAAGTGAAGGATTCTTTGAGTTTTTGCGCTGTATTCACATTTTTTACATGATGTTCACCCTATTATCTGGGTCTTTTGAATTGTTCTTGAGTATTGTCAGGAGTAAAGATGAATAGCAATAGGAAAAGCAAAGCTTTTGAAATTCTTTTGAAAGCTTTTTAAATTCCAAAATCACACAGGAGTCCAATATAAGTTTAAATTTATTGGTGAAAACAGATGATTATTCATAAATCAGAATTCAGAGAAACTCATAAGTGTAATCAACTGATTGTGGATTCGACTGTTAAGAGTAGGCAAAAAAGATTTTGGATTGTTCAGCTTTGCATGAACAAATTATGTTGTCGATTTTATAAGATTTTTTCTTAAAGTTTAAAATGCCAGTAATTTTTGTGGGACAATGTGTGCATTTACGTGCATTTGATATAAAATTAGAATTGTATTAATAAATCTAATTTTCTTTATTTAGATTTTTAAAGTCACACCTCACCTATATGCAAGATCGTCTTATATGCAAGTAAATACGGTACTTTGACTTAATTAAAATTAATATTTTATTATAACCACATTATGTATTTTATTACAAATTTCTATACATGTGAAAAACAATGATAAGATTGCTGTTGTATATTCAAATATAAATTCATATATGCATATTTCCAATGGAAATGTTGTATTGTCGAATACAGGACAGCTTCCACGGAGAAAATATTTGAATTGTATAAAGCAGCCAGATTATACGCATTTGCACATACACTTTACAGAGCACCAATCTTGCGTGGTTTTGCTCGTGATGCTACACACCAAAATATCATATAATGCTTCAAATGATTCTTCCAGGGCTGGCACAGCCTTCCTATCATCAAATGTCACTGCACACAACTGCATAATAGTATAATGGTATGGTGTAACTATCAGGCATTGAAACAATTAGTCTCTTGTTTGTGTGTGTAATTTTCTGCTATAGATTCCAATACAAAAAAATTGATATTTTCAAAAATGTTTTAATGATAATTATGTATAGTATGAAGACATAGTATTAATAGTAATTATTGTAAAATATAATGTGTTAATTGTTGACTGTGGATTATACCATATATAAAATGTTTAAGATTAAATTTATAAAATTAAATCATAAATTTTCAGGTAAAGAAAGACAAGATGTGATTAAAGGATGCAAAACAGAAAGCCAATTAGCTACTATTAGTCTTTTTTTACTTCCTATGCTTAGAGATGTAAGTATTCTAAACTTATTTTTGTTTATTTTAATTACTTAAAAACTTACATAACACATTTTTGAACATAGAATTGTAATAATACTTTTCAGAAATTTTCAAGAATTTATTAAATGTTAATTTGAATTATCAGAACATTTTTTACACAAATAATTTTTAACTGTTTTAAAATTAAATGCATAGTTATTTTCAATTACTTATACAGGTATACCTTGCCTTATGTTGGTAATTGGTTCCAGGAGAGATGACTTAAGTCGAATTTACTTGTCTCCAAATTTACTCATCACTAGGCTAAACCACAAATAACCGTTCCCAGTTCTGTATTTTATTTATAAATGCATTTTTAATAATATGTGGTTAATAAGAATCTATTTTAAGCTTAAAAACAAATAAATTTTAGGTTTTAATATAGTACAGAAAAAAGTAATCTAAATTTACGAATTCATGTACTGTACGTACAGTACATACTTGTAAATGTACATGTTTGCAATTTTGCAATGTTTACAGTACATCGCAGACACTTTATTTGTGAATGTGGTTTGCTCTAAGACATTATAAAATAAGATGATTTGGTAAGGTTAAATAACAAATACAGTTATTAAAATTATCTTACAACAGTAGAAAATAAACTAATTTATATTAAATTTACCAATATTGAGTGGTGCTGACAATGACACCAAACAGTAGATATTAAAGCTACCATGGAAAACACCAATATTGAGCACTTAAAGACCGCTAAATAAGACAACAACACAGAAACAGATGTTTTCATGTTTCATTCTCTAGGATTTGATGATGATTATTTTACCAACATTTACTGTAAATGTACATATTTTAATATGATTTTATGTGCTATAACGCTTTTCTAGTGATATTACGACTCCAATATTTCTGGTGGATGGACATAAAGTCAAATAAAATGACTTAAACTTGGTTTTTATTTTTCCATATATTTTTTTACAAATGATATATAATCGAGAACGATGAAACTTGAGGTATACCTGTATATATTAAATATGTAAATACTTATTTCAACAAAATAATTTTGTTTGATGCAGCTTGATGCAAAACAACTGGAATATTTGGCAGAAGTACGAAAAATCACTACAGTATTTATGAGTTTTCCTGAAATAGATATTATAAAAACTGTTGGAGATATCATTGTTGTTGTTGAAGTAGTCTATAACTGTACCTATGATATGCAAGGTATTATGAAAATATTTTTCATTAATTATATTTAACTTAACAAAAAATTAATTTAATTGATTAATATAAAATATGTTGTTAAGATGTTGATTCATGCAGCACTTGTATATAACAAAAATTTATTAATATTATATTTTCAGCATTATATCTAAGTATTTTACATTTTGTATTTCTCAATATAAACTTGTTTGAAATATAAATTATTTTTAAAATGTTTTGAAAAATAGATCTAATTTCTATTTTTACTTTAATATTAATGGATGAAAATGCTTTTATTTATTAGTGAAATGATTTATGTAAAAATTGAATATGAATGTCACCAAAATATCTCCATTAAAAGATTGTCTATTGATTTAATTAAAAAAAAAATTAGAACTAATACAATTGTTGGATGAAAATCTAATGTTTTTATTTTGATTAATTTTAAATTGAAATTTTATCTGTAAACATTGAAATGGAAATTATGAAATGCAGTCAATCTGTATCATTAGAGGATAAAATTAATTTCATTCATATAATTATTTTACATATGTCTATTGGACACCAAGACATACATAAAAATGATCATTTAATGGCATATGCATTCTATTAGAATAATTAAACTAGTAGAAATAAATCTAAGTTTTTATTGGTTTCTATTGATAGAGCAATCACATGAAGTGAAATGAATTGTAATCTACATTAATAATGATTGAATATATTTGATGGAACTTCCAATTTGATATTTATAAATCAAATTTCAATTCAAAATTGAATTGATGGGATTATTAAAAACTTTATTAAACAATCATATTGAAAAATCTTATTGAATAAATGTTTCTACATTAAGAACAATTTTTTTAATATTTATTAGACATTTGGTAAATTTTATTTGTTAGAGAAAAATAGTATTCTATTATCATTAAAAACATACGGCATGTCTGCTTAAAATCAGCTCAACTGAGATAATGAATTATTAATGAGGTAAAATTTATAAGGGATATTTAAAAGAAAAAGTGTATGAGATCAAGCCCAAAACTATAGGCAAACTATTTGTAAAAGCATCGATCTACCAACATCAGTCTGAATATAGTTTATATTAGGTCAGTCTGAATATGAATACACATACAAAAAGATACATAATACACGGACACCACTTTCAGCATCTTCTATACGTTTCTATGTGTTTAAATAATGTTAATGTTTATAATGAGTATCCTTTGCCTAAATTCATTTATTGATATATTGTTCCAGTGATTAGGGCTGATTTTACATGGGACACTTTGTTTAATAGTAAATATTTTTACTATCACTAATAGTAATTTTTATTTTATTTTTTATATAATGAAAATATTATTAAAAATAGCTTGCATAAAATATTTTGATTGATGTAACTACTCTTAAACTTTAATTATAGTCTACCTTTGTTTATAAGTTGCAAAAGCAAAATATGGAATGTTGATTTTGTTGTGGATAAGATGCTCTCTTACATGGGCTGCAGCTTAAAGCCAAGGTTTTAGGATATGACTTCTGAATGAAAACCAATAAGAAAGGAAAAGTATCATGAATAAAATTAGTTATGTAGATCTCACTGTGCTACATACAAGAGTCAATTGTATGTCGTTTTATTGGTCATTTTTGTCAACTTTTATGAATGCCTTAAAATTATTATTACTAGTTTATCTAGATTAATTAATACACCTTTAACAGTGGAATTTTAGAAGAGTGTTAACATTTTTGACTTGGTTAATAGATCATTTTCAGGCATCAAAAGATATAGATGACTAATAGAGTATGGGATGAATTTAATTCTGATTAGCATCACATATGTTAGTTAAACCTATAGATTCCTCAATCACAGTCTCACTGAACACAAAGATGACATTAAAAGATAGGGGTCAGCAACAATTTTGTCTTTCTAAGTACACCCACCTGGTACAGAGGTAGATTAGCAGATGGCCAAAATCATCCAAACTGTCTCATCCCTTCTGTGCCAGCATTGTAGAGAAGTGCAAATTTATAACCAGTCTGTTACCAACATGTGCATAAGCAGCAGGGACAAGGACTTCCTTCACCTTGCTTGACAGTTCCTCCTCACTCTGTTATATTAACCAACCACTACCGTTGTAATCCACCTCCCTCACTTGTTTACTTTATCTGAATCTATTCCTTTGTCCTTCCTTCTGACATTAGCACTTTACTTTTAAAGTTACCTGAATTATAGAGATTGTTTTGCCATCTTGTGATGCTTGTAGCACCTTGGCAAGCATTGCTGGACTCAAAGATTGGCCCAGTAAGTAGATTATAGCAACATTATGTCACTTTTGAAGTTTTCTATAGATTCTGCAATTTAGATTGATATTTTTATGTAGCTACAAACCTAGACATTATGACAAGTACAAAATGCAAAAGGCACAAAAATACGATGATGTTGACAAAAATGTGTTTATTTTTGTTTCAAACTTAGAAACTGTAGTAATGAAGACAAACAAATTCTTAACAAGAAACAAATAAGTATTCTTGGTTACTTTCAAAAGACAACTTAACAGTTTATTTGTGTTAATCTTTGTTTTAAACATGTCTAGAAGTGCTGATCATTGCACATTATATTGTACATATGAAATAAAGGCTTTCATAAAAGCTTTTATATTAGTATATATTTGTTTTTTACTTTATAGATTCTGAATGCATATTCATATGTATTTATACATTATGACATGTTTTTTAAGGATGTTGATATTTTATGTATTCTGTTATTTAATGCATATTTTTCAAAAACAAAAATATTCATCTATAGAATGTTGTATGGTAGGATGCTTTCTCCAGATAATGAAAATGTCATTTAACATATCCAGCATACAGATGGGTGTTGGAAACTTATGGACGTTTTGCTGGGATGACCCTCTCTCCTCAATGTCTGTGGAAGACCACCAGACTTTGCCCCATGTTTGTTCCACAACCTCCGTCCAAACTCAAGGCAATCATATTCAATGTTGAGCACACTTTTGAGGGACTTAATGAGGTTCAGAAAGAATATTTTTGATGAAAGACATCTTTTACAAAAATATAATTTTAATTTTACAAAACTATCCAGTTTTGTCATTCAATCCTACTGATGTTTAGATCTAACATTAAGCAGGCAAACATGAACAGTAACAAAAAAGAACTTTATTAGAAAAGGTTAGAACTGTCACAGACATCCTCGGGCAACACCCGGACAAAATCCAACGAACTTTCGCGCCTTTTCTTTTTTGACGTTGCCAGCCACTCTTGTTGGCAAGTGTTGCCAGACAGAGTTCGTGATCTTGGCAAGTGTTGCCAGACAGTGTTCAGGATCTCTGGCGCTGGCGGCCACAGCTACTCCCCCACCAGTGTCTGAGACACGAAACGAACGGGAAACGATACATGTCGGCCAGAGCGCGTGGTAGTTTGTCGCGTTGGGGCTCGATCTTCTGTCGTATGTTTAGTCGTCGCTGGTCTTGGCATTGGAGACGTTGGGGGTAACTGGTCCGACTCGCTCGCTGCGAGAATAAAAGCCGGTTTCAGGCGATCAATAGAAACTACAGTTTCTTTTCCCTTTATGCATAGAGTGAATGTCTTGCTACCGCGTGACACGACTTCGTAGGGTCCATCGTATGGAGGCTGCAAGGGCTTCCGTACAGCATCATTGCGGAGAAATACGTGGGAACATGAGTGCAGTTCTTTGTGGATAAATGGGTTGCGATAGGAGTGGTGCACAACAGGCACTGGTTTTAAGTTCGCCATCATCGTTCTGAGTTTTTCGACGAAAGAACATGGATTGATGTCCTGAGAACCTGGGACGAAAAATTCTCCAGGCAATCGGAGGCTGGTGCCATAGATCATTTCAGCTGCAGTAATATTGGTGTCTTCACGAAGCGCAGTTCGCAATCCTAACAAGACTGTAGGTAGTACTTCCGTCCACCTGTCAGTAGAGTGGCATTTGATGGCAGTTTTAAGTGAACGATGAAAGCGTTCAACAATGCCATTCGCAATTGGGTGGTATGCTGTTGTCCTAACTCTTTTGGCACCAAGAAGTTGAGTGAGGGATTTGAATAGGCTAGACTCGAATTGACGTCCTTGGTCAGATGTTATTTGGGCAGGCACTCCAAAGCGAGATATCCAACCTGAATATAAGGCTGAAGCTACTGTTTCAGCCGCTATATCTGGCAACGGGATTGCCTCAGGCCAACGAGAAAATCTATCGATGATTGTGAGGCAGTATGTTGAGCCGTTGGAAGGTGGCAATGGACCAACAATATCAATATGAATGTTTAAAAATCTAGCGTCTGGAATAGGAAAGGTTCCCAAAGGGCTAGCGACATGTCTCTGGATTTTCGACCGCTGACAAGAAATGCAGGTGCGAGACCATGTCTGGCAGTCTTTACTGATGGACGGCCAAACAAATTTTGCTTTTACCAATCTGGTTGAGCCCCTTACACCTGGATGGGACAGGTTATGGACAGTGTTGAAAGCAGTGCGACGATAATTAGGTGGAATGTATGGACGAATGCGACCTGTCGATACATCACAGTAAATTTCGACATCACTATCAGGAAGTTTAAACTTCTTAAGTACAAGTGATGAGTCACTTGAAGTCAGGAGAGACTGGAGCTCAGGATCTTGCTGTTGGTCTTTTGCAATTTTGCTATAATCTATAGATGGGCTACTAATTGATTCAATACGGGAGAGAGCATCAGCTGGAACATTATCGATTCCCTTTATGTGTCTGATGTCTGTCGAGAATTGTCCTATAAAGTCGAGATGTCTCAACTGACGGGGTGTACATTTGTCGTGTCGTTGCTGGAAAGCAAACGTCAATGGTTTATGGTCTGTGTAAATGGTGAACTGTCGTGCTTCCAGCATAAATCGGAAATGTTTCACAGCCAAATACACAGCCAGAAGTTCTCGGTCGTATGCAGAATACTGACGCTGAGAGTTACTCAGCTTGCGGGAAAAGAACGCCAGTGGCTGGAGACCTTGTGCTGTAACTTGATGAAGGGCAGCGCCCACAGCAGAATCAGATGCATCGACGTGAAGTGCAAGGGTAGCACTTGGTGAAGGATGGTGTAGTAAGGTGGCTTCTGCTAATTGTGATTTACATGACTCAAATGCCTGAATAGAATTGTCAGTCCATTTAATCTCACGTTGGTCGTTTTTCTTTGCTCCTTTAAGTAGGTCGTGCAAAGGAGCTTGGTGATGGGCCGCATTGGGTAGGAACCTACGATAGAAGTTCAAGATGCCCAAGAACCTTCTCAGTTGTTTGAGGGTCTGTGGTCGCTTCTGTTGAGTTACGGCAGATACACGTTCCGGAAGTGGCATAATGCCGTGGGGAGACACCATGTATCCTAAGAATGATACATGTGAGGCAGCAAAAGTACACTTGGATGCATTGATTTGCAGACCGTACTTGTCTAGGCGTTGAAACACTTGCCGCATGTGCATCTTATGTTCCTCCCACGAAGTGCTAGCGATGAGGATGTCATCTAGGTATGAAAAGCAGAAGTTTAGGCCTCGCAGAACTTCATGCATGAATCGTTGAAATGATTGGGCTGCATTGCAGAGACCAAAAGGGAGGAAAATGAATTCAAATAGCCCAAATGGCGTCGTAATGGCTGTCTTTGGCACATCATCTGGGTTAACTGGTATATGATGGAAGGCCCTAACCAAATCGATCTTGGAAAATATTCGAGCTCCGTGTAGATTTTGACCAAAATCGTGGATGTGTGGCACTGGATAGTGATCGGGAACAGTTATCCTATTCAGGGCACGGTAGTCTCCCGTAGGTCTCCAATCGTTACGGCCCTTCGGCACCATATGGAGGGGAGAAGCCCAGTTGGACTTTGATGGTCTGCATATACCTAGCTCCATCATGTGCTGGAATTCTTGCTTTGCTACTTGCAGTTGAGCCGGGTGCAATCTACGAGGTTTAGCAAATACGGGTGGACCGTGTGTCTCGATATAATGCACTGTGTTGTGCCTGACCTTATCTGAAAACGGTCGAGGACGAGTGAGATGTGGAAAGTCCTTGAGGATATCCTGCATTGGGGAATTGCTGATTATAGTTTTGACTGAAGTAGGTGGTCCTGTATAATATCTTCCTCGTGTAGTAAGGGAAGTCAGGGGGTCAACCAGTAATCTGTTTCTGATGTCGAGAATGAGTCCAAAGTTGGCCAAAAAGTCTGCACCGATTATAGGCTTCTGCACATCAGCTATGGTGAATTCCCATCTGAAAGAACGTCTTAAGTTGAGGTCAAGTTCTAGCACTTTTGTTCCATACGTCGAGATTTTAGAGTCGTTGGCAGCATACAATTCAACCTTTGTAGGCTGATTCTTAGTGCGGTTGGGAATGATCGATAAATCTGCTCCAGAATCAATTAAGAAATTTAGGCCAGTTTTGTTGTCATACACAAACAAACGGCTATATTTAGGAGCCAGACTGGACCCACAGGCCGTTACTGCGGCTGGCTGCTCTCGTTTCCCTGATCAGCAGTTCGATTAAAGGAACACGGCGAACGACATTTCCAAGCAGCTGATCCAAACTTACTGTGGTAGTAACAATATCCCTGACGACTGAGGCTTCTTCCCCGAGAGCGTGAACTAACGCGGTGCCTCGAATTCGGGTTATGTCGGTTTCTCTCTCTACTACGATAACGGGGACGAGCAGTACGCGATACATTAAGTTCTGCAACCTTCTTTGTGAGTTCTAAAATCTGCAGTTCAAGGTTTTTGATTACGGGATTTTCGTCTTTCAAGTTGATGCTGGCCAGTTGGGTTGGTTCTGTAAGTTCAGCAACCTTGTCAGCAAGGATGGCTAGCTTGTCTAGTTCATCACTGCTAACAGCCAATACGGTCTGAATATTTTTGGGGAGACGTTGGAGCCACAAGTTTCTAAGAAATTCTTCGGTAATTTTGCCCGCTGAAAGCTCCCTCATTTTACGGAGTAAAACGCTGGGTTTCTGATCCCCTAACGCCAGATCTTCAAGCAGAATTTTAGCCTCTTTAGCAGCGGAGTTCTGGAAAATTTCGAGGAGTCGATCTTTAAGTTTAGAAAACGGAGCCTCGGCTGGACGGTCAAATACTAAGTCACTAACATTAGATAGAATCTCCGCGTCCAGGGAATTGATTAAATAGTTGTACTTAGTGTTCTCACTTGTAATCCGATTAATGGCAAAAGCCGCGTCTAGCTGCACAAAAAATAATTTGATGTTGGTTTTAGTAAAGATAGGCATTTTTGCCTGTACACGTCCGATTTCCAACTCGTTCTGTTCCGCCATTCCGGGCGCTTAACTATGCGGCTACAAAGAAAGCGGGATAGTCTTGGATAAAGCTTAGCCTGAGTCACGTACTCCTAGTCTTCGGTAAGATTTACCCACCGTCTTCCTATCGAATTTACGATTTAGAAACTGATCATACCTGCATATCCTGTTAAAAAAGTTCCATCATAGACACAGAGTTGTTCGCTATCCAATTCAGTCGAAAGTCCAGGTAGTTCATTAATCGGATCACGTTCGGGTCACCACTTTGTCATTCAATCCTACTGATGTTTAGATCTAACATTAAGCAGGCAAACACGAACAGTAACAAAAAAGAACTTTATTAGAAAAGGTTAGAACTGTCACAGACATCCTCGGGCAACACCCGGACAAAATCCAACGAACTTTCGCGCCTTTTCTTTTTTTGACGTTGCCAGCCACTCTTGTTGGCAAGTGTTGCCAGACAGAGTTCGTGATCTTGGCAAGTGTTGCCAGACAGTGTTCAGGATCTCTGGCGCTGGCGGCCACACAGTAAAGCAGTTTGTTTGTAATGTTTTTTTTTATTATTTTGGTGATAAAATTAATATAAGACAGAAATAAAACTCTGTGCTTAAAGACAAACCATTTAGTATTTTATTTTTAAATAATTTGGTTCATAAGCAAGCATTGAATTTTACAGCCTCGCAATTTTTCCATAATTACTCGAAGTTAGAAGTATTCAGATCAATATATCTCATCTATTCAGTAAATCTTTATGAAAAAATATTGTTTTCTGTTTATTCAGATGTAAATAGCAAAATTAAAAAAATCTTTATTTAGCACTTTAGTTACATAAATTATTTTGTAAAATCTTGCCATGTTTGAAAAAGTTCTAATTTTTGATTGCCATACAATGATATTCTAAATTTTATTTAACAGAATTATTCCATTCAATCTTGAAAAAAAGAAATAAAGAACTAACAATACTAAATATTGTTAAATAAAATAATTTTTTACACAGATAATTAAATTTAATACAGAATGTTTTAAATGCTTTTAAAATATTGGAAATATAAAAAACTATAAATTTTTGGTTAATATTTAGTTTATATTTTTCAAAATTTAAATATTCAAATAATATTTAAATTTTGAAGAAAACCATTTTAATACATAGTTATGTTATTTATTTTACTGAAATATGTTTTCATCATTATTTTTTTAGGTATTTTCAATAAAACTGTATGTTTTGATAAGGTAAGTTATTTTGATGTAAATATACTACATTACTATTTAAAATTTTTTACTTTATGATAAAATATTTTGAAAGTTATAATAAAGTAGTAAAAAAAAATAATAATAATATACAGAAAATGTAATAAACATTGTTTAAATATTGATTTATGAAAGTTTTATATTACCTATATTTACTAAATACAAATATAAAATATTGATTTTTCATAAAAAACTTAATGGTTAATGGGACAATAATACTGTAAGATTGTAATTCTGAGATATATTTTTATATGAATAATAGAAACAGAATGTATACATTTCATAAAAATTGCCGGGACAATTAAATTTTTAAAATAAATTTAGCAATTTTTGAAATTTATTTATATTTTAATTGTGCCATCACCAGAGGCAAATAATTTTTAATGTTTTACATATTGGGGTGAACGAATAGCCTCAAATGAAAGGTTGACTCTGCCATGGAACTGTTAATTTTTTCCTCAAGTGTGTGAAAAAGGACAGCAGAAGACACCTACATATTGTCTCCCTCGTAAATTTATTTAGAATGTATACATTTTTACCTACTTATTTTTAGTTTAAATACTCAAAGTAACTACATTAAAGTAAAATTTTTTAATCATTAATGAAAAGACTATAAAAAACTTATTTTAGGAAATGAATTATTATTTCTGAAATAATGAAAAAACGTAATTTAAAGAATTCATATATATCTGATATTGAATACCTATTATGCTGGCTTTATGAATGATAGTAGACAGCCTGTCATGCTGACAGATCAATCCAAATGAAGAATTCCAGGAACTGGAAAAGTTTTCATAGGCAGTTTGCCTCAGATATGTCAGGCACTATCTCTCACCACTCAGCTGTCTCATTGTGAGTAGGATAACCATCTATGAAACTCTGTAAACCCAGCGATGTCTTAGTTATGTGACCAACATCTATACTTATCATGTGACCATGGCTGGTGTCTGTTGATCACTTGTCAAGAAGCTTTATCCCAATCTTCCCTACATCAAATGGTTAAGCCCAAACTTAGGAACAGAGATTTGCAGAAATATTAGGAAAACTGAGTGGTATTAATAATGATTTAACAAATTTCAACACATTAAATCCAGCTTGTTTTGTTTATTTATGATATATTTTCAAAAGTATTGTATATGTATATGCAAAAAAAAAAAGACAACTACTGCAAAGAGGAATAGCATGATAAAAAATTTGATTATTATTTTATTTATTAATGCTTAAAAATCAGTGCAAATCCAGAAAAATTATCATAAAACCCTAGAATCTAAAAATGAAGTGCTAAAGCTGGAGACTTCAGGCCAAATTTGGAGGGGAATGGTCACCGAAATTATGAGCCTCACTAAAACCACAATGGGCTAGAAAAACCAGTGGCTTGCCATCCATGGAAACTGTGGAAGTGCTGCTTCCCTTGTATTTTCTAAAATATAAATACATATTGTGTGATTATTTTTATATTTTAACGTACTTTGACTTAATTAAAATTAATATTTTATTATAACTGCATTATGTATCTTATTACAAATTTCTATACATGTGAAAAACAATGATAAGATTGCTATTGTATATTCGAATATAAATTCATACATGCATATTCTCAATGGAAGCATTGTGTGAGGGGAGACAAAAAAAAAACCGAACTGAGAGCGCGATGCCATTTGTAGATGTAGTAGAGAGTTCTTCCATTACATAGGGTTAGTAGAGACCTTCACGAAACAGCTGTGTAAACGGCATCAGTTTGTAGGTTTACGTTTGAGCGTAGTGTTGTGTTTCTCTTACTGTTATTTTGTTCTGCATGCGAAGTTCTGGACGTCCTTCAACATCTCGAAACAATGAAAACATTGAAAAAATCTGCCAAAAAAGTGTTAAGAGGATGTGCAAAGGAAACGTCCGGAACTTTGGCGATAAGGTGACAGGTTCCTTCACAACAATGTCCTCGCACACAAGGTCTTACAAGTGACACACTGTTTGGCTTCTTGGGGATGGCCTGTCATTCTCCACCCTCTGTATTCACCAGACCTAGCCCCGTACGACTTTTTTCTGTTTCCAAGAATGAAGAAAAATCTAAAAGGGAAGCATTTTGATGATGTGGAGGCGATAAAAACAGCTTTGCTAAGAGCACTGGACAATATTAAGGTTGAAGAGTTCTAGAGATGCTTCAAACAGTGGGGAAAAAGACTTCACAAGTGCATCGTATCGAATAAAGAGTACTTTGAAGGTGACTGAAGAAATTTTGTAAAAAAGTTAATAAATAAAGTTTTTATACAAAAAGTCCAGTTTTTTTTAGGTCTCCCCACGTATTGTCAACTACAAGATAGCTTCCAAGGCGAAAATATTTGAATGGTATAAAACAGCCAGATTACAGGCATTTGTGCATGCGCTTTACAGAAAACCAACCTCATGCAGTTTAGCTTGTGGATGTTACACATCAAAATATTGTATAACGCTTCCAATGATTCTATCTAGGGCCTGCACAACTTCCCTATCATCAAATGTCACTGCACACCACTGAGAAAAAGGATCCTCTTAGTACTCATATGATAGAAAGAAACAAAAAAAAAAAAGAACTATTAAATTGTAATACATAAAATATTAAATATTGCTTAATTATAAAATTTTATTTAATCTTGTGTTCACATCTCAAATGTTTGACAGCATCAAATAATTTGAAAAAAGTTTAATTTATTTTTAATTTGATTGTAAGTTTGCAAAAAACATTCATAAAAATTTTAAATGAGAAAATTACAGCAAAAATAAATCTTTCAGTAGCATTAGAGTTTATATTCACCTCATAAAATTGTCTAGACAGTTAAATTAAATGAAACATTTAATTGTTATTAATTATACTAAATAATAATGCAAAAATTATTTTAGTACATAGATCAACAATTGCAGTAAATACTAATAAAGAAAAATATTAACTATTGAAATACTATAATGGAAGATTCAAAACAATAAAATTTTTTAGATAATTAAATATCAGTTTGCAAAATACTATTATAAATTCAAGTTATATTAAGGTAACTGCACCAGTTGCTGACAGTAACACAGTAGCTGATAAATTTTGCATAATTATTTTATAAGAAATGTGGCAGACAGATTTCTACAATGCATTTGAATAGCATCACCTATGGAATTTTTGTGGCATTACAACATTAAATGTCATTTGATGATGCAAAATATTTGGAAATAAAATCAATAAAAAAGTAGTTTATAAGAATTGATACTATAATCTTAAAACCTCAGTTATTGGGCTGCAATTTGAAAAAATTGTAGACCTATAACTTCCCACTGTTGTCTGTCTGTTTGTCTCTCCTTAATCTCAAGAATGGTGTTAGATAAATGAAATTCAAGACCAGATATTGAAAACTTAGAGGCAGGAGGCCCCAATTAACTATATATGAACTTCCAATGCAAATTGGCAATCATGTTATTTCAGTTCAAAAATTTTTCCAGAAAGGAGTTAGATAGATGACCAGCATGTCTCCATTGCTAAAGGATGATGTACAGGGCAAGCCACTACAGTACTAATTTCAGGTGGAGAGCATATATTTTAAGTTAAATAAATTAAAAATATGATTAAAAATTGAAGCCTGGCATTATGACAATGTCACAATAAATAATTGCTCATTATTGAATAGCTTTGTTCAAGAATATTCTTTTTATATGTGATTAAAGCCAAATGATTGCCAGATTAAACCAGATATTACTATTATTTATACTTAAATGCTAATAATTAAAGCTAAACAATTGATGAATCCAGCAATTGTTTGGCTTTAATATAATTATTGGGCTTGTAGATGTTTCTATTTCTACAAATAATTATTTGACAATTGATTAAACAATTAATATACAGGTTGTTTATAATTAAGGTTCCACTTTGAAATGGCCATAAAATGAAAACTACTGGACAGAATGTTATCAAACTCAGTAATAGTGTACAGGACGTCATGAGATTTTATTTCTCACAGAAAAAAGTTCAAAAACTCACCACCAACAGGAAATGGCACTGTCTGAAATATTGTTAAATGAAATAAGACATGAAGACATCATTGAAAATGTTTTTAATCGGTTTTAAAATGAAATTGTTTGTGGGGTTACTCCTGATATGCTAAGAGCTACTGTTGAGAACACAGTAATGCAATGTAACTTGCTTATAAAAAATGGTGGACACCACATTGAACATGCTCAGTAACATGTTTTAAAACAGATTAAAAACATTTTCAATGATGTCTTCATGTCTTATTTCATTTAACAATATTGCAGACAGTGCCATTTCCCGTTGATGACGAGTTTTTGAACTTTTTTTTTTCACAGGAAATAAAATCCCATGATGTCCTATACACTATTACGAAGTTTGATAACATTCTGTCCAGTAGTTTTCATTTTATGGCCATTTCAAAAACACCCTGTATAAAAAAGATCAATCATCTTTCTTATGTTTTTGATTTATGTTATATTTATTTTTTTGGTAAAATTATTTTAATCAATTTATTTAGTTGTCTTTTATTTTAAAATATTAAAAACTAATTATTTGGTATAATTTTCATTGTAAAAGATTTAAAGGAAAATTACCATAATAAATTTAGAATATGAATTTAGGGCTGCACATGTCTTGTTGTTTTTGGACTTCCAGGATATAAGCACCAAGATGATAGTGCGAGAGGATTACTTTGTGCAAGTAAAATTTCATCTAAAATGAAACAGCATTCCATGTAAGAAATTAATTTGAAATTGATTCATTTTTAAATATTTTATACTTGATTAATTTATATTTTATACTTATTATTTATTTTTTCAAAATTAAATAATTATAAATAATATAATTATTATAATGAAATTATAGATATTTTTTCATATTATCGTAATTACTTTGTTGTAATCATAATAAATTATTACAAATGTTTTTGATAATATACAGGGTGCCCAGATTTATCATGATGATCTTGAATAACTTCATTGCTTTTGTAAGTTGTTTTTGTAACAGGGCTAATATAAGTTATAATTATAGTATGTTGTAATGAGAGAAAAATTACTACAAAGGGTATAATTAATATATTGTTAATTGATAAAGCAATACTATAAAAATAACAAATGGGTGAGAATATCGGCTGTAGGGTAATTTTATTTTTAATATCAGATCAAGATTCAGTTTATATCTGAGTCAAATATCGATTATAATGTTAATCACAGTAATCAGATAAAAAAGCTGCATTGGTAAATAAACTAGTAATTTGATTTTTTTTACATGTAAATTTGGTAAAATATACAGACATGCAATAATTTTTTGAAGCCAAATATATATTTATATGCACTTTCAAATATATTTATACTTTTATATATTAAAGACAGAAGCATCAAATGTTTTTATTTAAACTATAAAAATAGTTTTTCTCATTTATCTTTTTGAATTATTACTGTACTGTTTTTTTACAATTTCTAAAGTATCATATTATAACACTGTAATGGATAGTTTAGCAGTTTGTTTCCACAATTGCAATTATAGTTGACAAAATGGAATACATTTATTTGAATGTGAATGTTTGTACTGGCCAGTTGTTACTCATAGCAAGTAAAAAATTACAGTATGCTCTACTTTTCAGGCAATAAAACTTTTGCTTTACAAAATAAAAAAAAAGAGAATTCAATTTGTTGTAGAGTGCTAGTGTGTTTAGTTGCCAACTCATCATTGAGTTGACAACTAAATAATTACTAGTGTGCTAATTTTTGCATTTAGAGTCAACATTTAAAAATTACCAATAATGTTTCAAAAATTTACCATTTTATCAATAATAAAAGAGTTGATAAATCTGCAACCCTTAATCAGCTTACTGACTGGTCTCAAGGGGAATATCCCAGGCAAATCAGACTGGTATGTTTTACAAATTCTGCAGACAAAAAAGTTTTTACATGTAATATAACATGTAACACATGAAATACCACTGACAATATTTCAAAATGTGGTATTAGTAAAAGGAAAGATGATATTAATAGATTAATGATATATAATAGGGGTTGACCTGTATCTAATTGAATCTAAAGTCCAATGCCTGGACTGTGATCTTACAATATGTGTAGATTGGTGTCCCTCTGAAAGAAAGAATAAAATTCCTCACTTATAGACATTGTCACATGCCACTGTTTTTCAGAAGTTGAAATCAGTTCTATTCTTTTTATTCAGGTCTCCAGTCTACATATAATTCTCCATATTCTTTCAGAATGTTAGTCTTGATTTTATTTTTTTCTATTATCCAGTATGTCTCCTTTTCTCAGTGGTCTCTTTCATATCTTACAACCATAAAAATCCCTCTTTTCTTTGTATCTATACAAAGAAACTCTGTACTCTATACATATCTTTATATCCTTCCATCCCAAACTATGTATTAACAAAGCCAACCTCAATGAGTTTGCCTCCAACTATATCTCATGAGATTTCCGATTAAGAAAACAGGAAATGAAGTAAAAGGATGGTAGAAAATAAGAAAGATTGAAAGTAGCCAGAGAAGAAAAGAAATTTTACAATATCCAAAATTAAAACATATACTGTATATACGTATATAAACTGGTTTGTATGCCACAATAGAACAATAAGAAAAAAGAATTATTCTTTACAAGTTAAATTTTTAAGAAAAAATTATGTTATTTTAATTTAGTATTTTTTGTATAATCATTTTATATCAGTGGTTTCCAAAGTGGGCATTACCATCCCCCTGTGAGCAGTGGGTAAATATAGGGGCAAAAAGAAGTAAGTGGGTGGCTGGCAGATGTTGGAAGCAGGGTACAGAACAGTAACCATAGGCAAGGGTTGGGGTCATTAATAACCTTTTCCTTTCCTTTGTTAAAACAGGTAAGAAGAAACATTACATTTAATGGTTTCCACATGTGAACAATGTACAGTAAGGACACAAAGTGTGAGGTTTGCAGAAAATTTTTTTAAGAATATCTCCAAGACTTTCTCACACAAGGGAAAATGGGTTAGGGATGTGTAGGTAAGGTTGATGGTGTTAGGTATAAGTTTATGGAACCAAGGGGCAATGGCTCGAAAAAATTTGGGAATTACTGCTCTATATGCATGCTGACAAAATTTCTTGCATTCACTTTTTAAATTTTTTTATCAACAAACTTAATCACGATGTACAATAAAAGGTACTAAAATTAATCACTTAACCTAAAAGGCAGGAAATAAAGGAAGTCAGAAACGAAAAAGAAAACATATGTGAGATTTGTGTGTTTTTTTCTTTTTATTTATTTTTTTATTTTTTGTCTTTTGGCAATGCCAAGTGACCTTTGAGCCCATGTAGTGGCTAGTCACATATCTCACTTTATTTCCCAATATGTCTTAATAAAAGATGTTGTGTTGTGTAAATCTGAATGGAGAGTATGCTCAGCTGTTGCCAAAATAAAAATTTATTTATTGTGAATCTTGTGTAAGCTATGAACTGTGTTACCTGCCTTATGGATAGAAAAGTTACAATTATACACTATGTATCTTATAATTATTGTTTGCTTTTCAGAGTCCAATAGATGGCATCCCTGTCTAGTAGCAGTTTGATGTCTTTATCTTAGTCCTGTTGAATAGTCCTCTTTCACTTGCTGTCTCACAACACTCATACCAAGTATTTCCTTTATGCTGAACTCCATCAGAACTCTGGTCCTGTCATTCTCTTTTAACTTTCCTGGCTCTGTTATATATAACAAAGGGAAAGTATGGCAATCAATCAAAAAATGACCCCAAGATTTTTACATGTTAGGTCTTGGAACCTTGAAATGTTGAGAAATGCAAAAAAAATTGGGGATTTTTCTGTATGTATGGATGTTTGTGTGTATTGGTGTGTGGGGGCATGATTTTGTTCACTTTCTTTGAAGCTTAATAACTCTTGTGCTTTCAGTCAAATTTTTCTGAAATTTTATGGGGAGGTTTGTTTATTAAGGAGGTTGATGTCATTAAATTTTGGTGGTTAAAGGTCAATGAGATAGGGAGATAAAGGGAGGTCATGTGTCATATCTCAAGTAGGGTTGGACTTAATGACGATTTTACTTGTTATTAGAATTAACAATTTTTTATAAAATGCACCATATCCTCAAAATTAAGTTTTTTGCTATTTTAAAATAATCAAAAATATAAAAAGTTTTTTAATAAAATATCAAAACAGATGGCACTATCAAATGCCAGGAAAGTTAAACAACTTGTTGCTGAATTTTTTTCTTTTTGATTATGACTTTTTATATGCAATTTAAATTGGCATCTTTAATATAAAATTATATTTATCATAATATATTTTAGGATAATTTTTCTGTTACATTCATAATTTGATGAAATTATCAATACGATATAAATATATTTAGAAATTTTATTAGCCAATTCTAACAACAAATGTTAATGCATGTATATGCATTAACATATATGCATGCTAACAATTGTTATATACAGTTTATGCTAAAATTATTTAAATTTATACTTATTATTAATTATAGAAAATGTTCTATTGGAATCACAACATCAGTTACATTTTGTGGAATTATTGGAAACCCATATCGTCAAGAATACACAGGTTTCTATTAAAACTGTTTTGAATTTAATAAATTTAATTAAGTAAATAAATTTAAAATTATTAAATCTCATTTTAATGACTAAACAATCATGATAAAAATTACTTTAGTAAATAGAAATTTAATAAGTTTTGTAGAAGTCTGTTGCTAATTTCAATTTTATATATAAAAAAATTTATGAAGTGAAATTTATTAGAAGGAAATAATAAAATGAAAGAACAACTCTAACTTTAAAATTTCGTAAAAAAAATTATTAATTTCTAATATCATATTTTTTTTTAATCTTTGACTCTTAAAAATTACATACATACATTATCTTAAAAACACAAATGTAATTGTAACCAATTACTATTACTGATTAGAACAGCTGTATTTAACTAATTCTCTTTTATACAAATGCCTGTCTTTTCAGATTTTTTTTATAATCCTCAGTTACGTTAAGGAAATAAATGGAAATAATTGAGAATTTAAATGAACTTGAGAATCTATAATGATAAAACTAAAGATATACACTTCTCAAAAGTGAAATTACAACACCATGAAGGAATGCATTTAGCTACATGCAAATTGCAGGGCCAGTAGAGGCAACAGAGATGAGTAAGTTTGTGTATGCATTAGGTCATGTGGTACATGGTTTTGGGCTATAAAGACCGACAGCCAGCTGAAGCTGTAAATGCTATCAGTGATGGTTTGCAGAAGCTGAACTTTCAAAGAAGCATAGAAAATGCCTCGGAGATGACAGCAAGCTGAATACCATCAGTTAATGGCTGGGGAACAAGATTGTATCCTGGAGTTGTCTGACCTCGGTTTGTTGATGTGTGTTGGGCATGATGTGAGTACCTCATAACATGCCCAACACACAACAAGAAGTTGGCTCTGCCCTGCTAAATGGCATTACAGTGTTTCTGGAAAGTTTCATCAGCAGCTGGACACTCCCTGGATGACTGGATGAAAATAGTAGGTAAAGATAAATCTCTGGCTCTAATGGTATGAACCCAAAAGGACCAACCTTCCTTGCCTTCTTCACTCTTAGTCCAACTCTTATTCTTATCTACAATTTTATGCAGTTAATTAAACTGCACTTAGAGGGGTACTAAGTGCAGTTATTCTTACCTTCAAAGTAACGTCAGCTCACAAATACAGTCTACTGGGTCTAAAACCCACAGCAGTGGGGACTCTGTCCCGTTCACCAACTGAGCTAGGAGTCTACAAGACCCATTACAATTTCCATCAATTCCTTTAATCTCTCTAAGTTGCCTTTACATGCTGCAAGCATTTGAAGTACTTACTCTAAAGGCTGTGACCAGTCAACATGACTGACTTTCTGGCAGAAGCCCTAAGTATGAGAGTAGTCAAGTACATAGTGCCTCATGTTGCTGTGTGGGCACCCACAGGAGTAATAACATTGCTAGATGTGAGTACCATCCAGCAATGTGGACATGATGATGATGGATGCAGGAACATCTGCAAACATGCTAAAGAAGGAGTGAATTACACTAGTGCATGATTATACTGATGAACATACTGGCAGATTCACCAAACAGCCATGACATCTGAAGCCATCTTTTGCTGTCAACATGTGCATCTGTGTCCACCCAAACTATTTGCAACAGGTTGCGTGAAGTTGGGCTGCACATATAGCAACTAGCAACCAGGTGCCATTAATCACTCAACACAAAACTGCTCTCCTGGTATAGTATCATCATCATTGTAACTGGACCAGTGAACGGATTGGATCTTGTTTATGGATGAATCCTACTTTTGTCTGTGGAGGAATTATGGCTATGGATGGGTGGGTGACATCCTGGATAATGCTACATATCAGTTTTTTTTGCCAAGCATCACACCAGGCATAATGGTTTGGGGAGGCATTATGTTCAATCAGTGGTCAGCCCTGGTGCACATTGCTGATACTGTGACAGTGGACCAGTATGTCACATGAATTGTGGAACCTGTGGTTTGGCCACTGGTGCAGGCTGCACTGACACAGTATTCTAGCAGGATAATGCTCGACTGCATGTCACATGGTGAACTCTCACCAACCAGAAAAGAATCCTTCCATGGCCAGCAGTCTTTCTCTCCCCTCAAACACTTCATCTGATGTGAGACACACTGGAGACCACCATCATCATGTACTGTAGACAACATGATTGCTGCAGTGGACATTGCTTGGCAAGGAATACCTCAGGCATGATAGTATGCCTTGTATAGCTGTTTGTGGGGGCCATATTCATTACTGAATAAACAGATGTCTGTTGCATATGTCTTTCTCTGTTATTTTAATCATTTGTACATCTATGTCACCTCTACCAGTCCTGCAATGTGGCCACATTGCATTTTTTTTGTGGTGTTGCAATTTCACTTTTGAGGAGTGTAAAAGCAAAACATAAAATCAGTTAGTGATTAAAAATAAACATTCAAAGTATGGAGACTATCTCACTAATTACTTACATGCTTACTACACATAAATTAAATGTATTAATATACAATCGACCCCCCTATAACACTGTTGATAATTCTGTTTTATATGAATTCCATGTTGTATGTGTCACTTAGATTTTACAAATACGTGTGCCGGGCTGTGAACAGCTCACATACAAGTAAAATCTAAGTGACTCGTATAACATGGAATTCATATAAAACTGAATAATCAACAGTGTTATAGAGGGGCCTACTGTATATTGTGAAATTTCCAAAGACAAAGCAAATTAGTATGAATGCTCATGTTGCTACACCTGTATCTATGAGCAGTTATAAGGTAATTTTTATTTTATACTAGCTGTTACCCGCAGCTTCACTCGCGCGGATTTTGCAAGCAAACCCTATTTACATTCAATATTTCAACAACCACTGTAATTGTTATATAACAGGGGTGGCCAACCTGCGACTCTTTGAAGGATTATTTGTGGCTCTCGATAGATGTACCAGAGTTCCCATTTCATTTTTGTATTATTATATTTTTAAAAATTATTATCGTTCCGTATGTGTTTCAAAATGTCTTTTAAATTACTAACAACAAATATGAAAGACTAAGTGCAACGTTGTAACAAATTTCATTTCCGTCCAATTTAAGAATGATATGATTCATCGAAAACTGCGCGAACGAACATAAACAGTGGCGTTATCGACCGACTCAAGACCGATTTTGAATTTGTCAACTGTCATTGCAACGGACAGTTGACATTGTGCTCTGGAGGAAACAATTTGTATCACTCTTGCTACGGATATAATTTGTATTCTGGAATTTTTTGCATACCTTTTTAATATGTATTTAATTGCGGTTCGCAAAAAATTTCAAATTTTGAAAAATGGCTCGGACTATCAAGGAGCTTGGCCACCCTTGTTATATAACACCTACTGCTGAGAATCAAACAAACTGTTTTCAATTTGATCAGTTTTCTGGAACATTTACAATCGCTCTATAATCGAACCAATATGCAAAAAGAAATTCAAATTTAAAACAGTTCAAATATTTGGTTAAAAGATCGAAATATATAAAAAATATTTATAACAATGTCTGAAATATTATCAATTTAATACCCCTAAGTACTCAATGAAGACTAAACGTAATTAAAAACAAAAAAATCGCATCTAAAATAGTACAGTAGAAGCCGTTCTTCAGGTTTAGTCTTAATGCTCTCCCTCTCCCCCCGCAGAGGAATTTTGAGAAATCCCTTCTTAGTGTGCATTTTCATGACTTACCCTAACTGTGTACCAAATTTCACCTCTAGGCTCTGGAACTTTCTAGAAAAAACTGGAACATTCTCATTGAAGTATCACACATTTTCGAAGTCAACCACTTTCAAACCCCGTATCTCTCACACCCTTATAGCTATCGAGACGCAACCACCATAGTGCACGATGGGAGAGTTGAGGCTACTACCACACACAAACAACATTCATGTGCGATGTGTAGCTTTGGCTGCAGAGTGACGTATAGGCACAAACACATCCATTTATATATATAGATAGATATGTATAATACTTAATTTTTAAATGGAAGCCTGACTTTATATAGTATTGGCTGTTATGAGATAATGGAAATTGTAGATGTTGAGATTTTAAATGTTTTTGCAACTGTTTGCTTTTATATTTGTGATATTTTAATTCTCAAGTTTTGTTTTATTTGTTTTTTTAGATACAAAGAAATAAAATGCACCTTAGACGACTGATATCTAATGTACAAAAATGTTCATAGATGAAATGGTGCTTATCGAACATGCCAACTCTGCTAGTTACTGTATCGAGGTTAAAAATTCATAAATTTTTAATAAATTAAGACTTTTTGGAAATTACAATAGATGAGAAAAGCTGTATTGAAAGATGATGGCATCAAACTATGAGGTATTTAAATGATGATAATATATGTTTCCTTTTAGTGTTATTTCATAAACCAGAATTAATTGTAGTCTTATTTACTTCTTAATATTAATTTGTTGATGTTAATAGTACAGGCAAGTCTTAAAGTGATTATTTATCTATGTAACCCATTCAACGTGTGTCCGTCCATCTGCGTAACAGTATGCCAAAAACGGGCACTAGAGGGACCCTAGTGATGATTTTAAATTAACAGTAAATTAATTTTATTTGTAATAGGAATTTATTATTTATATCACGGAATGGTATAAATAATTATTGTATGCCTTGATTAACCTTGCGCCGCACGTTTACATTCCATGACTGTGAACGTCACGCACGCATTGACTCACGGGAAATTTGTTGAAAAAATGGCAGATACATTTAAAATCGAGGTTTACAAGTGAAGGTAAATAAACAAATTAAACTATTTTAAAGTATTTATAGAATGTTTAATAGGTAGAAATCTATATTCGTATGACGCGATTGGGACTTTAACAGAGCTGTAGAGCATATTGATAGGAACAAAAAAGTCAAAGGAACCATGCCTCGTGGGAATTTGTAAAGATCGCCCACTAGGGGCATCCCAGGCTACTAGTATTAGATTGTACTGAACTATATTTTGAGATGAAGATCTCTGTCAAGATTGTTCTTGTTAGAGCCAGCATCTCAGAAAGAATTGCTGCTGTTATAATTCCTGCAGAAAGATTTTATTCTTGTGTAGAAATTAAAAACTACAGCTACATTTAATATGAAAAAATTTTAATATAATTTAATTAATTAAATGTATATTTTTCAGATTATCAACAAGAAATCGCAGTAATGCTGCTTGCGATCTTTGAAGTCTGTGGCAGCGTGATATTGATTTTCACGTAAAACAGGTTTGTGTTAGGATTACAATTGGATTGAATTTGATTTTATTGTTTAATTAATTTGTAAAAACATCAATACAAATCAAATGATTATATAAAATTGTAATGGTATTGCTATGGCTCTTGTACAGTACATAATTTCATTATGTAATAATTTGCCTAAATAAATGAAATTGAGCAGGAATACACCATTTATAATTTGTAGTGAACTTTTTTATGATGATGATACAATATAAATCTAGTGAGATTGTTGATGGGTTTTCGAAGCAGAGCTTAAAATGCAGAGTTGCTATGTTGCCCATTATATATCAAGTTCTGTATAAATTTAGTAATATCAAAATGTATTATTAATGCTTAAATAAGGAAGTAATTTACTTTTGTGTTCTAGATGAATTGTAAATCATTTAACTCCTAAACTAGCATTTTAAACATTGTTTTGCTGATTATTGTTTTAATTTATCAGCAATTTTATTTTTAAGCTTTTGGGTGTTGTAGTTAAGTTTAAGTGATAGGATATATTATTCATTATTTTGTTCTTACACATAACTTTCCTGTTGACAGCATGTTAGGCAATTTTTGAGATAAAAGTTTATTTTTTAAGAGATCGGCTTTTAAAATGGTAGTTAATTTCTTTCAAAAAATGGCTGACAAATTTACACATAAAAATTTGTAGAAAAGATTAAAATGCCGTGATTTTCTCCATGTCGAATCACCAGTAACAACAGTCTTCCATTGCAGAGATGACCTTTTATTAGAGGCTATGCCTCTGCAAAATATGCAAAAATAGTTTAAAAAGTTTGCAGATGACAAGCCAAACAATTAAGAAATATAATTTCTTTCAAAGGAAAACTGTTGTTCTGGTGATTTGACATGAAAATCAGGACAATTTAGTCTTTTCTAAGTATTTTTAATGATGATTGATATTTTGAATGAATGTGATCAGATGATAAATTACAAATATATGATTGTAACTAGGCAAGACTTCTAAGTGCATTCTTGTTAATCTGAACTAATTATTGCATAGAATTTGGTACAGATAAGCAGAGTTAAATATAAAGAAAATTAAGTCTACATCTATATATATAAGCCATTGTCACATCTGTAACGGCATCCATTGCCTAAAACGCCCACTAAGGGCATCCTAGCAATGATTTTAAATTAACAATAAATTAATTTTATTTGTAATAGGAATTTATTATTGATATGAATTTATGTGAACCCGAGGGGAGGTTGTAGGTCTCCTGCTTCTGTCACTAGTCAGGATGATACATCAGGCGAGTGGAGGGAGAGAATTTGGGGTCGACGATAAGGTGAAGGGCGTATCGAGTAAAGGAGGCGACCATTTAACAAATATAACAATTATTTATTAAAAGAAGCAAAATGACAAAAGGCTACAGAAACTTGTAGGTACACGAGTAAAACACAGATTCGGGCCAAGCGAACAAGAGAGATTGGCCGATCTACGATCGTGCGATAAAGACGCCGATCTGAAGGAGCAAGTTATCGTGGTGGCAATTAGTTAAAAGAGGCCATAAAGTTTATCGACGTAGAAAATCAGAAACGTGCTGTCATAAGCCACCCTAAAGAGTTTCCTCGTTCTTTCATACCTCTTTATACAGTTTTCGACTATTTTGAACATGGAAGCACTTAAATATCGGTCCAAGGAATAAGGTAGTTATAATCCAATTGCGACACACATTACAAATACTTGCGACTTTGGCGAAGATTTAATTTTGAGGTTTATCGGAATTTGGATAATCGGCGCAATGTCGTCGGTCCGGTGTTCGTTCAGCAACTCCCCGATGGGGGGTAAGAATGACCTTTTATAGGTTTTTGTGAGGAATTTCCACCACGTGATCAGATGTTCATGAGTTAAAGGTTATAGGTGTCCCAGGGACCTAAAACTAGTGATGAAAGTTGGATGCTAACTATAAACTTTTCTGCAAGATGATCTGTAAGTTCTGCAGAGAACAATAGATGTTGATAGTTATGACCGGAGAGTTTACACATTCCTGGCTAAGATTGGTTTTTTCTTCTAGGACGTTACATAAATGAAAGTTTAATTAATTAACACTTTTGTTAATAAAGAGCGAAATTTTTGTTAATAAAAGAACGTAATTTACGTCACAAAAATTCTGGATCTCACAATTGTTTATACCACAGAATGGTATAAATAATTATTATATGCCTTGATTCTTGTGCCGCACGTTTACAACATCCCATGACTCAGTGAATGTTGCGCATTGACTCAAGGGAAATTTGTTGAAAAAAATGGCGGATACATTTAAAATCGAGATTTACAAGTGAAGGTAAATAAACAAATTAAACTATTTTAAAGTATTTATAGAATGTTTAATAGGTAGAAATCTAGATTTTTATGACGTGATTGGGAATTTAACAGCTGTAGAGCTTATTGATAAATAAAATAAAATAAGCCTTTAACTATCCAGCAATAAATAATGTTTAATAAAAAACGTTTTA